TAATATGGCCTTCTCCGTACTTTTTAACTTTTTGTTACATTTTAAATTTCGCAGTAACAAAAACCTCATGGTTAATTTTGATGCACACTTTGAGTATCTTGCCATGATTTTAAGAGAACCCAATCTTTAATAACCTAAGTTTCAAATGCTGCTATTGAACAGGTGCAGTGTACCCTTTCCAACTTAATAAGGATAGAACTCTTAAACAGAATTTATTCTACAGTGAGGAAGAAAATGTACACAGCAGTCCAAGTGGACTGGAATGGGGAGCCAGCCAAGGGGGATGATAAGGACCGATGAGTGCTCTTAGGCCCCAGAGGTGTGTGTGTGTGTATGTGGTGGTCCCTGGTCCATGCATCTCTCTGACTCAGTCATTACAGCAACCGCTAAATTAGTAAATATCACCCCCTCCCCGCCTGCTCCCCATGGCCCACAGATGAACCTCACTTTCCATGGGGTGATTCTAGGAATGTTAGTCTCCTCGGGTGTCATTTCCCATCCATTGCCTCCAACCAGATGGTGTTCCTCATGGTTCCCCAAACACCCCTATATCTCAGTGGAAGTTGTGCCCTCCTCTTTGCTAAGATCTAAGGGTATCTCTTCCACGAGGCTTTCTTTAATCTCCCACACTCTCAGGATTAACCACCCGCTCACTATGCAGTCTTTGCACAACTCTTAAATTTCTCCTGCAGAGCCCACCTATCCCCAGCTGAGGATAATCTATTGGGAATCTTGTCTTCTCCCCAAAAATAACAGAAAAGTTTAGTCTTCCTCAAGAACAGAGACTTTGCTTGTAATTTTCTGTGCCCAACTTCTATTAAGGCAGTGGTTCTCAACCTTCTGGCCCTTGAAATACAGTTCCTCATGTGTGACCCAACCATAAAATTATTTTCGTTGCTACTTCATAACTGTAATGTTGCTACTGTTATGAATCGTCATGTAAATATCTGATATGCAGGATGGTCTTAGGCGACCCCTGTGAAAGGGCTGTTAGACCGCCAAAGGGGTTGAGACCCATAGGTTGAGAACCCCTGTTAAGCAGTCTAGAGCACACTGGGTGCTCAATGAGAAGTTGACTGGACTGAATTAAGTCATCACTTCTGTGCTTTTAGAGTTGGACTCGACACAGAATCTTAAACTTTTACTACAACACATTTTGTTATAAAAATTGGAATTAAAGTCCACACACAAAAAGAGGGATGTGGCTCACAAACAAGCACTGTGGGAACAGTGCTGTTAGCCGCTGCTACGCTGACCTTTGGAACTCACTCAACAGACCTGCGTCTCGGGCATGACTCATCCATAACTTACATGAGAATGACCACTCTCTTCTTGAGTGTTTTCTTTGGAGGAATATGGCTAAACAGACCATAGAACTAAAAACCTAAATGGGACATGTGAGCTTCTGTAAGGTTAGGAGGGAAAGCTGAGAGGCAGACATCTCTTCTTCCTTCTGCCTAAAGCACTGTGGTTTTTCGAACCTTATTCAGTGGAACAGCCAAAAGAAGCCATGGCTGAGAATGAGAGAGTCTGAGCTTCAATTGAAACAGCCTTTATTCTTTTATATGTTGAAGGTTTCAATAAGATTTCAATCTGAAACATGAGTTTTGCTGCTTAAAAATGTCTGCAAAATCACTAGACTAAAAAAAAAAAAAAGAAATTCTACTACACCCTTCCCTAGGAAGTGAAGAGAGCCTATAAGGTTAGGCAGGCTCACGGGGAAGCCATAGCTGGCAGTGGCCCCAGGTGAGAGCCAACCACTTATTCAAATTCCAAAGGAGGGCAGGGAAATGGAGTTTGGCTTCAGTCTCCCCAGGAGGGCCACACGCCGTGGTCCACCCCAGAGAACAGAACTCCTTAGACTTCTGAGCATGTGGAGAATAGTGAGCAGCCTGGCTGAGGCAGGAACTGCAAGGACAGGTCCTGAGATGGTCCGTCACCAGCCACCGTCTCCAGGAAGCCTTGCTACATCTCAGGCAAAGCACAGCGTCTCTTCTAAGTCTGGATACTTTCTGCTACCCCAGCGCCTGCCCAGAAGCTATCTTTGCTGTTGGTGGGGATGACTTCAACTTTCAGTGGAGACTTTATCTCATTAGTTAGTGTGGGAGGCCAAGCAGATGTGGCTATAAGCCTGACCCCACAATGATCTCAGCAAGGAGGCTCATCCCTGCCTCCCACAAATGTATGTGACTCCCAAGCTGAACAAGCAAGTACAGATGGAGCGGTGAGATCTACTCCTCCTACAAGGTCATAAGATCTGAGCCCATGTCCTGGGGATGACTGCTAGGGAAGCTAAGGAGGGCATCTTTTATATATAATGCCCCTGAGAGGTCAAAGCAGCCACATCTCTGCAGGCAGGTGACAACCTTATTTTCTTCAACTGTCCTAGTACCCTCAGAGTGGTGACACAGCAGTACTGCAGCTATGATCACATCACCCTGGGTTACTGACAATCAACACAGTGTCAATCACAAATTAAGTCCACATTTTGAGCAAGAGCTCAAAAAGTCGTCTTCTAAAATGTGGGTGCTGCCCTAGCTGATTTGGCTCACTGGATAGAGCGTTGGTCGATGCTTCTCTCTCATCGATGTTTCTAACTCTGTATCCCTCTCCCTTCCTCTCTGTAAAAAAATCAATAAAATATATTTTAAAAAAATAAAATATGGGTGCTGAGGAAAGGCTGGTAGCAAGGGCTGCCTGCCTAGCTCCAAGGGATGGGAGGGGTGACAGGTTATCTACAGTGTGTGCTGATGTGAAGCCTTCCATTTGAAAACATTCTCCCATCTCCAGGAGTAACAGCCTATCTGTAGGATTCAGAAAGATCTGAGTTCACATCCTAACTCTGACATTTATTAGGCTTGGCTTTTGGCAAGTCAATTAAACTCCTGGAACCCTGGTCTCCTAAACACTCCTCAAATCCGCATAATGGCTGGAACTTTGTGTGTGGTGCGGGTAAACGGGAGAACCTGCGGGAGAGGCTCTGTGCCACACCGCCTCCTGCCTTTCAGCTCCCAAAGAGCAGCACGTCCTCCAGGCCGCTGGTCCCTGGGATTCCCTCCACATCTTATTTTGGCGCTTCCTGCGAACACTTATCCAGCAGTGCCCTAATTTCACATTCCCCTCTGCAGGGCCCGCTCTGTGAATAAGGGGTGGGCTGTTAGCTGCCCACCGTGATGAGCGCCATGCCTGGAACACGAAATTGGTATTAGCTGATGGGAAGAACAAAGGCCTCCATTTTTCTGAGGATAACGTGGTAGCGAGGAAGGAAAGAAACTACAGGAAGATGGAAGTGGTTCTTGGAGCTGAAATTTGGAGCCAGATGCTACCCGACTGCCTCTGTCTCTGCTTCCTTGTGTCTGCCCCACAGGATGTGCCAGGGTTGTAAGTGGGGGACGTCTTATTATTTTTATTTTTTAAGAACAAACACAAATACAACTGTATGTTTGTGTATATGATATGTATAAGGCAAGGGCAAAACTGTTTCCATTGAGGAAGATTCTTAAATCATCAAGTGAGAAAAGGAGTGCTTCCAGCACCCACAGGACCCCTTCTGAACAGCAGTGCGCCTGCGTCACTTAACAGGGTTTTCAGTTTAGGGCTGTGTGCCCGGAGGGTCCATAGGAACCACACAGATAGCGTAGAAATAGAGCAATTTATAACATCTCAGATGGAAACACAACATTGATGTCGGTACACCTCTTTGTACACCATTAATCTGTTAGCACAGAGAAACTAGAAACAGTCAGAACTTGAGCAAATACTGAGGTAGTTACATCCACATAGAGAGGAATGCACCTGTGGTTAAAAAGCAGGATCTAAGAAGTTATCTTAGTCTTCCAACTGCTCAGCCAGTGCAGCTAAAAGCCAGCCACCGTCAGCCACACGTGCGAGCGAGCCAGCATGCTGCCCACTGCAGAGGGCACACCGAATGCTCCTTCCTGGAAACTAGCGCTATTCCACAGCCAGACTTGTTTGCATAAAAAAAGTTGGAGGACTTTGGGAAGGGTCCCAGCGTTCAGCACTCAGTGCTGTGAAATTACACGCTATTCTTTAGGTTCACAATGAAAACATGAATTTACTTAATGTGTGGAAAAAACAGGACAGAACCAAAAATGGCATGTGGGAAAGGCAACAATATGAGCTACAAACTCATTTTTATTATAAAAATTCCTCCATATAAACTATAATCTCTGCATTTCTAAAATGGGGTTGGGGAAGTAGTGAACGTCACACATGCTTTACTGCCAATTTTGGAAGGGAGAACTTGTATTTAAAATATTGTCCATGACACCATTTTTGCTATGAAATATATTTTTAAGGGGCGGAAACTGAGGCACATGTAAAAACATTTTACAGTAAACTCAATTATCAGTGGAATTGCAAATACGGATTTGATAGGAGGCGTAGATGTTTTTTGTAAGGTCTCACCTTAAATTTCTTTTTTAACTTAGAAAACAACATTAAATATCGTGGAAGAAATCTAGCAGAAAATACTCTGTGTTGGAAGAACACATGAAAAAAGTTATATGGAAAGGTTATATTTTTTCTGAGTATTTTCAAAAATACATCAAAAGCACAAATTAATTTCTAAATATTTTATTAAAAGTAATTTCATGATGACCACCGTGGAAATGATTCTTGTTTATAATTTCCACACCAACTTTGTGTCCCTGGATTTTTTTTTCCTTCTCCTAGCCCAGGGCTGCTCGGTGGATATTTGAAGGTTAAAAAAAAAATCAGGTTTTTGTGCTGAAAAGTTATCAAGACCAGCTCTCTGCTGCATTTGCATTGTTATTAGGGACACACACGCGCACACATACTGGGCTTAATGTGAGGCTAGTTCAGAAACAGAGAGATTAGACACAAAGAAATGTAAACAGCTCTCACATGCGAGGAAACTAGGTTACGAGAATCCCAGCACCAGGCATTCACCAGTCACCATGGAAAACAGGAAGTGAGATGCATAGCAACCACAAGCCAAAAAGCAGGAAAGCGCATACCTTTAGCTTGGAATGAAAATCACGAGATTTCCTTCTGGCAAGAACCTGAATGTGACTAGACACCTGCAGGGTAGGGGAAGGGAGGAAAACAAAGGAAAAGCCTGTAACCATGGAGATGAAAAGCCCCCTACAACTGGGCAAGCCAGACGTACCTTAATGGCGGCTTGAATTTCTCGAACTTTCTTTCTTGCTAAGACCTGTATATGACTAGACACCTACATTGTTCGGGTTTATGAGGGGAAACAAAACAAAACAAAAAAACAAAAAAACAAAAAACAAAAAAGGAAATCAAATATAAAATTGCTATTCCTTAGGAGGGTTTGGGGTGGGGTGGGGTGGGGGGGAGGTTATTTGCATCGCAACAAAGCTCTGCAGTTAGGAATACACAGTCCCAGCCAGACACCAAGCCCCCAGCGCTGCTCTCAGCTTTTCAGACTGGGTCATCACTGCAGTGACTTGATTCAGGAGGAAAGTTCAGGCTAATCTAGTGTTTTTCTCACCCGGGAGCAATCACGGACATGGGATGAGAGGGGGAGAGTGGGGTTGTTTTCGTTATAAAATTAAAAAGGTGGGGGTAGAGGTAAATGAAAATATTTATAGCTTCTCAGTATAGGGAGGGAAAATCCCTTTTTCTCAATTTAGAAGAGATGATCCATAAATTAGCACATTCTGCACAATCAAAAAGCTGAAGCTGTCGGTTGTATTCTGATCTCATTAAGAGCTCTGGATTCTGTAGCAAATGTTAAAATAATACTGACATGTAAATTAGATCTCAAAGTGAAATGGAAAGACCCAGTTAGCAGAGCATTTCCCCCCTTATAAATATCTTTAATCCTTCCACTCTTTTGGGTATTGACTGGGCGCCAAGTGGATTTGCATATTATTACAAAGCGCAAAGTGTGAATACAGCCAGCCAGCCACCCTGTTAAAAATCTGGGTTGAAAACCACACGGATTTGCTGAACAACAAATTCACATTGGAGAGGTATCACCAACTGCTGCCTCAAAACATCCCCAGGATGCCGGGGTGTGGAAACCAAGCCAAGCCTGGCTTCTGAGACACAATGATTCCACTGGGTAAACAAATTTGCATCTCTTTCCACGGGACTTGGTTAAATTTAGAAGAGTCCCCCAGTGAAGGGGTCGGGCACATGACCAGGGACCGTGGACCAGCAGAGGGTCCAGGCCCAGCACGTTCCGCATGCTGGGAATTAGATCTTATCTGTTTTTGTCTGTTTCAAAAAATTTAGAACCTCCAATGTAATAGTTCAGCTACTCAGACTATGAGACAACGACTTTATTTCAAACACTCTAGCAACTCTAAAAAAAACCCCAGAATTTATGATAATACAAGATCCTTTTATCTTTAACTTTGTCTTTGCGTTTAAATTAATTTTTTTTCAATTTTTGCCTTTCAAAAAATTTACAGAGAAGCAGGAACTCCCCCATCCTCCTCACACCTCCATCCGGCTCCTGCTTTACTTGTTTCCAACCGAATTTTGGTCTGATGTGGTTCTCGGACTTGGACTTAACGAGGACCACTGCACACTGTCAGGGGAACATCCACAGAACAGACAATGTCCTGGGCCTGAGCACTGGCAGGAGGCCACTTCCCTCTGTGCTGACTCAGCAGCCAGGCTCCGGCTGGGGCACATGTAGCATTCCTGGGGAAAAGCTCTCCCCCATCATCAACACTCATGAAAACAACTCGTCACTGAGCAGAGGGCTGGAATCTGCTGCTCAGGCTTAATGAGACCACAGTTGAGCTTGCCTTCTGGTTTCATGGTAGTTTTTAAAATCTACAGATCCATCAGCATAAGTCAACATTAAAAAGTAAAAAATAAATTTTTTTTCTGTTAACAACTCACCCATGAGATGTTTGATTTTTCCCGTCCCCTCCTTCCCCTTTCTTTCTTTTTTGTTTTTGGTTAAACAGGAATTTCTCATCCATTCCAGTTTTGAACTGGGTCAGAGATTCGGGCTGCTTTACATCAGAAAAAAAGAGAGCCAGAGCCCTGACAAAGGGGAGAGGAAATGCCTGACACTGCTCTGCGCAAATACATTTACGTTGTAACTTCATTTCAGTCACAGCAGCTACTAACACAAAGCCATAGCTTAAGGAGCAACGGTTCCCTGGACGCACATCATTCAGTATCATATTCAGGCCAATACTCATGGCTGCTAGTGTTACTTTTTCATTGAAATGATGACTAATATTATAGTTGTTCCAGGATTTTACAATGCACAAAAATCTCAAAATTTCATGGCCTGCAAGTATATTTGCACCTGCAGCATGTGTAGTGTTTGCAGATGCATAGTTTGGGAAAGAAATAGAACTTTTAAAATACAGTGCAGGAGCAGTTTTATATACTGTCCTTAGTAAAACTTTCCCATATGTATAAAAAGGGCTCTTAAGACCACACAGTCAAGGGTCACTGAAATGATGAACAGTGAAAACTGAGCCAATTTAAAACACCAATTTAAACATCACTGACGTCCTTACAGGGAACTCAAAATGGGGGCTCCTAGGAGCCGAAGCACAGACAGCCACTGCAGCCAAAATGCCTCCTTGGGCCATTTGCTGACATGCACAATTTCCAGGTAGGTTATTTTACCTGTTTTCTGGTTCTCGTCTTCCCCGTCCTGAGTTTGATGTATCTGGCTATCAATTCATTCCTACCTGCAAGAAAGAAGAATTTACAATAAGGTGGATCACAAAAATTATTAAAAAGCCTCTGAAAGCTAAGAATATAATTCAGAATCTGTTGCAGCTGTAAGTTTACTAATGCTAGGAAAATAACACAGTGCCATTATTGTTTGCAAAAATACTTACTAGGAGAAAATAAGTCGAGGGACATTAATTCTGAATTACAATCGGCAATTGAGGATAGAAATTTGCTTTTTAAAAATGCACCTTTTTGTTTCTTTGCATGCTTGCATCTAAATGGGTGGTCACTTGTATAAGCAACAAATACAAGCATTAGTGTGGGAATCTGCAAACCCCTTCTGTTCTAGTCTTATTTTTCATATCCATTCCTCCTCACCCAGGTTTCTACTTGTAGTTACCTCCAGTTGAATTATAGCCACAAGAGAATGAGCTGCTGTGGCCACAGAAACCCTACAACGATAAGTTAATAGTATGAAAACTGACATCCCCTAAAAGTAGTCACTGTACTAGTAACTACACACAAGACTGTGTCTATGAAAAAGAATGACTCAACCTCCTCAAGACTTTATAATCTCTTTTTTGGGGGTGAGGAGATGGGGGGAAGAAAATGTCTAAAAGTATACCCAAAGACTTTCTATCAGTACCCCGCCAGGAGAGAGAAGTTTCAAACAGATTACCTGACTTCAAAGAACTATGATATAACAGGAAAGTATAACCCCAAAGCTGAGTGGGGGAAATGTAATACTACATGACATAAAAACCCACTCTTACAAGACATGGGTTCAAACTGTAACTATAATCATAACTGTATAGCTGGTTGTATAATTTGTGCTTGCTGTTTTACTTCCCAGACATACTCCCTGAGGAGAGCAAGAACTTGGTCTTACTCCCCAAGCTCCGTTCCCACTGAGAAAGAACAAACAAGGAAATAACACAGCCTCTGCTGAAAGGCAGTGGCCACGTCCACCAGACCTCCCCTGGCAGAGTAAAAAATTGGCAGCGCTAATGAAGACCAATGCGAGAGTGTCCTTGTGGAAATCTTGTCTGAGAATTCTAAATACTGTCCCCCATCATTGTCTAGAACAGTGGTTCTCAACCTTCCTAATGCCGCGAGCCTTTAATACAGTTCCTCATGTTGTGGTGACCCCCAACCATTAAATTATTTTCTTTGCTACTTCATAACTGTAATTTTGCTACTGTTATGAATCATAATATAAATTATCTGATATGCAGGATGTATTTTCATTGTTACAAATTGAACATAATTAAAGCCTAGTGATTAATCACAAAAACAATATGTAATTTTATATGTGTTTTCCAATGGTCTTAGGCGACCCCTGTGAAAGGGTTGCTCGACCCCCAAGGGGTCGCGACCCACAGGTTGGCGACCCACAGGTTGAGAACCACTGGTCTAGAACATTCCTGCAAGCGCGGCTCTGTCCACCACCTGCTTGTGCTAGGACCGTGCAATGCATCGTCAGCCCTAGAAGACAAAGGAATCGTGGAAGTTTTGGGGCCAGGAAAGTGTCTCTGGGTCATCCACTCTCACTCTTAAAAGTCGAAGTCCTTATTAGCCGAAGCCAGCACTCCTAGAATTCAGGAAGTGGTCCATTTCATCTTAAAACCTTTAAGATTAAAAGGACCCTCCTTATCTGTGGCTTCTTGTAACTTTCTTCCTCAGGTTCTTCTTGTTCCTCCTCACAAGAATCAAGGCTAGTCACTGATGCACATGACTAAGTTTCAGATATTAATGACGGCTTTCAGGTCTGCCTGGAGTTGTGCCCAGGCCAAGCCTCCCTGTTCCTTTGTTATCTGTGACAAGCTTTGCAGCACTTCCACCCCCCACCCCCCCATCCTGTGACCATCCTTTGTCTATTTTCCTTGCAAAGCCTAAAGCCCAGAACTGCAGGGATACTCCTGCTGGGACAGCTCCACATCAGAGTGGGTGCATCACCTCACTCATCCCAAATACTCTACTGGCTCATGCAGCACTGCCTCTGATTTGGGGGGACCACGATGAACTGCCAACTTGCATCAATCTGAACTCCTAGGTTCCTTTCATATGGGTTACCACCCTGTGTCCAGTCCTTTTAAGCACAGTTACAATTTTCAGATCCAAATACAGAACCTGAGATTTGTTCCTATTGCATTTCATCCCATTAGATTAAGCCTGTCATTCCAGCCTGTCGGGATCTTCTCAGATCCTGATTCTATAACTGAACTCACCCTTCAACTGCGGAAAAAGAACTTGGAAATTCAGTTTTGAGGATTGCTTCTCTAAGGATTCCCTTTCAAACTTTCGAGAACTACCAATATCTCCTTGTCGTGTCATCGGGTTTACTTCTCCATCTCTCCGATGGTTGTACAGATTTTGCAATTTGTTTCAAAGGCTCGCGGACAGCAGAGCCCAGCTAGGAGTGGCTAATTACCAGAAGCCAGACCTAAATGACAATGTCTGCGGACGAGCCAAGCATGCTCCAGCTCGGGGCCTTACTGTGCACCCTGCTCAGGGACAGGGTGCACAGTGAGGCCAGGATGTCTGAGTGGCCAGGATGAAGTAAATCCAGGGCTCTGTTTTATATGTAATTTTATCTGAACCTTATCCAGATGGCAAAAATGTCTCCTGCCTCACACGAGCATATTTTCTGTGAAAGCAGACAGAATTACTTGTTACGTGTGACACATCACCTGCACAACTAACTTTTAATTTCTTATGGCCCTTGGCTGAATGAATGAGGTCAATATCTAGGATGGCCACATTTGCATAGAGTCTGGAGTCTACACAAATGGCACCCCTTAGAGTTAAACAATATCAACTCATATGCTGATTACAATATTTCTAAAAATTGGTACTTCTCCAAGAGGCACTCGCTGGGTATCTACTGTGCAGAGCTCTATGCTACCATCATCATTTCACTGAATTCTTGTTGTGACTCTCACATCCCTTATGCTTTACAAAATGACCCTTCAAAACCATGTGTTTCTTTTAGACCATATTTCAAGGCATAAAGAGTAATTAACTTGAGGTTCTTATGTGTTTCTTCTTGCCTCCTTAAGGAATATCATTGATTCAAATGTGCTTTTTCCTAGAGACTTTTATTTTTATAATTTTTAAAAATATACTTTTATTGATTTCAGAGAGGAAGGGAGAGGAAGAGAGAGAAGCAACAATGATGAGAGAGAATCATTGATTAGCTGCCTCCTGCATGCTCCCTACTGGGGATCAGGCCCACAACCCAGGCATGTGCCCTGACCTGGAATCAAATAGTGACCTCCTGGTTCATAGGTCAATGCTCAACCACTGAGTAACTCCAACTGGGCTATTTTTACAATTTTAAAAATTCAAAATCAATTAACATGAAGTATCTACTGTGACCGAAGCAGTGTTAATCACTTTATTTCATATGAACTTTTTAATGACCATCAGGGTGGCTTTGTGCACAGAAAAACACTATTTAGGTTTACCTGTTAATAAAAATATATATTTCATTTGCTTAGTTGTTTTTTTTTTAAAAAAAAAGAAAAACCTTTAATACCTAGATCACTCTGAAATTTTAACTTCAACTCATACATTATAATTTTTATAATCACTTTCAAAGGTCCATTCGAATAATAGTTGGCCCATTTTATAAACCTAAACTCCTTTAAACATTTAAAACTGTATTTAATTTATAATGTATTTAATTCTTTTCAATATTAGAACTATGTGATTCAACTTATAAAACCTTTTCTTAAACAACTCTTAAATACTTAATAAATTATCTTAAATACTCCAATATTGCTTACAAATCTAGTAAGACCTCAACCCTACCCCAAATCAAGTCTAAATTAATTACCCCTTGGCACATTTTAATTTAGAAATACAGGCTAACCTGTTAAATGGGCCAATTTATTTTATTTTATGGAGGGGCAATTTATTTTAATTAATTAACTTGAAATATCAAATATGCATATATTCTTTAAGTAAAACTATTAATACTATAGCTTTGATTCTATTAACATCTTTTACTTTTATTTCTAAATCTTCCCAGAATTAAAATATGCTCACCTGTTAGGAAACAAGTATGCCATTCCAAATGATTGTGGAATATTTTTTTGGCTGCTTGGGGTTATTCATATTTTGGGAAAATCAACTAGGTTCTGAATGGATTCTTGTCAGTGATCCTGATAAGATGTCCTGAGACCTATTTTTCCTTCTATAGAATGGCCCTCTAAAGGGAGTGGACCCATACAGTCCAGAGCTCTGGATTTGAGTCATGGTACTAAGCTACAGAATTCCCTTACCAAGGATAGGGAGCTCAGCGGCACCAGCCACCACAGGTGTAACTGGCAATGGGTCTCGTCCACACAGCACCGTCTTATTTGCAGCCATGATCAGGATGTTGGACACTGGAAATGTGAACCCTCATTTCTCTTTCTCTCTCTTCCAAACACACATACATACACACACACACACACACACACACACACACACAAATGGTGGTGCTTCATCCAATGAACCTTACATTACAAAAATGAGTTTCAAAAAGTTAGCTTTAAAGTTAATCATGATATTCCTAAACTAATCCTACAGTCATGTGAGGACTATCTACTTTGTGCCTATGATGCCTGTCTGATGCATCAGGGATATAAAGAAAGGACTGCCTGCCTGCCAACAAAGAGTTTACTGTCCCACACAAGGGCTAAGATACACGAGCAAATCAGCTCTACACGTCAGATGACAACTATTGCCATGAAAGAGGTTCTAGTAGCGTGCATGGGTACTTGGCCACAAATAACTCGGGGAATCTAGAAAGCCTTCCCCAAAGTGGTGGGCCATAAGCTAGGCCTTTAAGGATAGTTTATATTTTCTCCAACATTTTATTATGAAAAATTTCATACATACAGAAAAGTTTTTTACAGAATGAATTTTACAGTGATCACTATATAGCCACCACCTAGAATCTACCATTCACTTTTTCTATACCTGCTTTATCACATCTTTCCCATCTCTCGATTCCTCTATGTATTTT